ACAATGTTGTTGTTGTTTAGTCATTTAGTCGTGTCCGACTCTTCGTGACCCCATGGACCAGAGCACGCCAGGCACTCCTGTCTGCCACTGTCTCCCGCAGTTTGGTCAAACACATGTTAGTAGCTTCGAGAACACTGTCCAGTTATCTTAGTCATGTTCATGGTAGCTTCGAGAACACTCAAAGTATTTGTGTGAAAACTTGGGATTCATTGATTTCCATGTCACCTTATCTACCCACCTAAGGTTCAGCCCATTTTATCATTCCAAGAACCCTGTGAGATACTTTAGGCCAGGGATGAGGAACCTCAGGCCTGGGGATTGAATGCAGACCACCAGGTCTCCTTGTCTGGCCCTGTCTCTCTTGAGTCGCCCCCCCCCCCTTGCTGCTCCTGCTCCAAACCCTTTTCCTGACTGGAATGTCCCCTTGACAACAGCGCATCTGCACTATTTGGAGCACTATTTAAAGCACTATTACACCAGTTTGTGGAGAATGTTTGTTAAGGGAAGTGACCCCTTACAGAGCTATAATTCGCAGCATGCTTGATGAATTACACTTCTTAGGATTCTCCTAGCATGTGACGGGTGGCATTGGGGCTGCTGAAGTGTCTCACCATGGACTCAGCAAAGGGATCTATCCAGGCCACCCAGTTAACTAGGATGTTCGGACTGGCAGGATTTTGGTCTATGTGGCAGCCATTAAAATGACATGGGAGCGGGGTGGGGGCGGGGAAACAGCCCTGATTACACACACACTGCCATTTAATTGAACACACATATATGCAGTGCTTTTTTTCTTTTGTGAATCTAAGTTTGGCCTCATTGAGGGGCAGTACTTCAATATGAGTAGGAAAATGAGAGTACCCCTAAATTTTTTTTTAGAAAAAAACCCAAACTGTATATATGCCATGCTTTTTATGTTAAAAAAAACAAACTGTCTACATCTGAAGCATGTAGGAGATGCATAGATCTGCACTGGAATCCCTGATTCAAGCAGAGAGAAAACTTGGAAGAGAAAATAACAGAGCAACTGCTGTTGTCTAATTTAAGCTAATAACTTCCAGAGGGTTCATTGTATTTGTTGAAGAACAGAAAAAGAATCACCCAATGATGATGCAGCATATTATGCAATGGATTCTGGTCCATGTTTGCTTATGTCACAATAAATTTGTTTAGTCTTTCAGGCGCTACAAGACTCTACATTTGTTTTCAAAAATATATACTGTACATATATATGCAGCCAAAGCGCACTACTGCCACCATGTGGTCCATTCAAGAACTTCAGTTCATTGACAAAGGCTGACTATTACGTCTAATATGTGGGACCTGCGACGCAGTGTTGCAGCATATCTTATTTGTTGAGAGAGGTGCTCCTTTTTAGGGCGGCTCCAAATATCCTGAAACAGATAGATAGGTAAAACAAAACAAAACAAAACAAAAAATTCCTTCCAGTAGCACTTTAGAGATCAACTAAGTTAGTTATTGGTACGAGCTTTCATGTGCATGCACACTTCTTCAGATACAGTGAAACAGAAGTCACCAGACCTTTATATATAGTGAGAGGGTGGGGAGGGATATTACTTAGAAGGGTGGTGGGAATGGGTGTTTGCCTGATAGGTGTGGTAAACCTGTTGATGACTGTTAACGACTTTATCATGTATCATGAGATAAGAATCCAATGTCTCTATTCAGACCAGGTCTCTCCATGGTTTTAAGTTTGGTAATAAGTTGCAATTCAGCAACTTCTCTTTCCAGTCTATTTCTGAAATTCTTTTGTAAGAAGACAGCTACTTTGTAGATAGGTAGATTGAGAATCATGGCACAGCAGCAAAAACAAAATCCATATTGCACCATGCGCGAGGCTTGTTGCAAATGCACCAGTGATTTTGGAACATAGGAGGCTGCCTTTTATACTGCCTGGCAGCAGTTTTCCCTGGTTTCAAATGGGTCTCTCCCGACCCCAACAGAAGATGATGGGCATTGAGCCTAACACCTTTTGCATGCATAGTATTGTTCTCTACCACTAAGCCATTATACTTCTTGTTCCCAATAATTCAGTGTGTCTTAAAAGGGGAACAGACCGTAGTGCCAAGGAGCCGTGCACAGGACCCTTGTAAGGTAGTTCAGGTCTAAAAGGGATGCTGGGCGGCTTACAGCATATATTAAAACATATATTACAGCATATATAAAAACTTCCCAAAACAAGGCTGCCTTCAGTTATCTTCTAAAAGTTGTATATTTCTTCATCTCTTTGATATCTGATGGGAGGGCATTCCACATGGAGGGCACCACTACCGAGAAGGCCCTCTGCCAGGTTCCCTGTAACTTTGCTTCTCGCAGTGAGGGAACCAGCAGAAGGCCCTCAGCGCTGGACCTGTGTCCAGGCTGAGCGATGGGGGTGGAGACGCTCCTTCAGGTATACTGGGCCGAGGCCGTTTAGGGCTTTAAAGGTCATCACCAACACTTTGAATTGTGCTTGGAAACGCATTTGAACTTATGTAGCAGGGCCCTTATGTACTTGTGTTGGCAATATAATCTGACAATCTTAGTCATGTTAGCCCCTTGGAATCAAGAAACCATGATCAACTGCAGAGATAGCTCCACAGGATCAGTCAGGCTTCAAAATAGTCAGCCAACTAAGTTAAGGAATGTAGTTAATGGGTTAATTCTCCATCAGTCAGCAGAAGTGACTCATTCCCTACAATGAAGGCATTTTGTCTCTCTCCTATTGGTTACTGGGCAGATTTGGCAAGTAACTTGTGTATAAAAGGGCTGCAGAAACTGAGTCAAGCGGTTAAGCTCACCCCTTGATCAGGACCCTAGATTTCTATCAATGCACTTTTAATGTGTATCTGCTGTGTTCTCATGATAATCAGGGTGTTGCAGCTTTGGTGTCATTTTACCTTTATTTTTGTGATTTTATTATTTTACTGGGCCGCGATTGATGATTGTTTAAAAATTATGTTTTATATATTGACTTGTCTGCTGCCTTGGGCTTTAACAAAGACCAGTCACTCATAAACCACCCCATAGCCATAGGTTACAAGGAGATTTATTTGAGCAAGCAAGAACATGCCCGGTTGCATTTTCTCCTTATTCCAAACTAGTCTGACTGGTTGAAGGCCCAGTTTGAGGCGACACCTTTTTCCTCAGTCAGTTTTGGGTCCTAACATGCAGGAAGTGACCTCACAGCAGCAACCCTCTGACCTACTTGCTACCTGGCGGAATAGCTAGGCTGGATCTACCATTATAGTGACTAATGAAGTTGCTGCCATCTTATGAAATGTCCGACTGCCTCTTCCTTTCCCTGAAGCATTTTGACAACAGTGACTCCTCAGTCCTTCTCAAGTCAACCACAGCAAAATAACTTTCCAAGCAAGTAAGTTGTTACAAACAAAATATTTTATTAAAATTTACATCTACTGAGGGAGAGAAATCCAGAATTTAAGGGCTCAGGAAACAGAGGTTTGCAGAAAGAGAACAAGGGGGGAAGTGGGGGAGGGGCAGATGGAAGGAGGGCAGAACTAGCAGATATAAAATATATTTTAAAAAGGTGGAGTAACCTGCCAACCACAGAAAATAATGAATTATCTCCTGTCCCATTCCTTCACGGCACATTGGTGACCCTCACCATCATCTTCTCAATCTCATTCTGCCACTTCGCTGAGCATTAACAAAATCTGGCTCTTGGAAAGAGCTGCTCCCTTCTCTCAGAGAATTCTTTTTGCTGGTGTCTGTTGGCTTCAGCAAAAAGTCCTTCTACACACACACACACATCATTAACACCACAAAAAGAAGACACAAATATTCTCTGCTTGCTCTCTCAACTTCACAGCAGAGGGCATTTCCAAAGCAGCAGACAGAGCTATATACATTTTCATTCCCAGTACAGAAGTGTATCAAATTCATTTCAGACAGCAGCCCACCCACCCATCACACAGAGAGGGTATTTTGCCCTGGTTCTTAAAGCAACATTTGGCTGGATTCTTAGTAGGGCGAAAATGGCTGATTAGCTAGAATGGGCCCATCTACTTAACCCAAACATTTGCGAGGGCTTCTGTGCCTGAAAGTGTCTGGGAGTCACATGGAAACTCTCAATGATAGCTGCTCTAGGCTCACCATACAGCTTACCCCTATCACATGAATCCTTTTCACAAGCACCCTCCATACCTAGGGGAATGTATGCATGGGGGAGTAGTGTGGGCCCCACCGAAGTCCCATTCACATGGCATGCCTACACACAAACAGCTGTTATATGGAGGGCAGGGGGACAACACGGTGCATGATATTGAGGAGGGCATTGCAAAAATGTAGGGAAATGCATGGATGATGGATCTTGTTCAAGCGTCGACACCACAATCAATTCAATACTCAGGACTGATGAGGGGTAGCCAACATGGTGCCCTCTGAATGTTGCTGGACTCCCAACTCCTACATCAGAATTGAGCGGGGGAGATCGGGGATCTGTTATACTGAACAACGGTGAACAGCAGCAAAAGGACAAAAGCTTGCCTTGTCATCAGCAACTTCAAAACAGTAAATTGCAATTGGATTTATATATTATATGCTTTGACAGCTAAGACAGGTGATAAATGAGAAACCGGAGCATACATGTCCTTCATTCACCCAGTTCATTTCTGTTCACTTTGGGGCAGAAGCTGCTTCTCTCTTTCTCTTTCTCTTTCTCTTTCTCTTTCTCTTTCTCTTTCTCTTTCTCTTTCTCTTTCTCTCTCTCTCTCTCTCTCTCCTGTGTGTGTGTGTATATATATATATATATATATATATATATATATATATATATTACCGTAGTCCACCAAAAAGCAGTGTCTCCCAGCTTCCACAGTGCTCCTTCTGAAGCTCTTGTGAAAGCATGTACTGTAATGGGAAATCAGTAAGTGGTACTAGCTTGCAAAAAAACAATTGGAATACCCTATAATTGGGGCCATGAGGGCGGGGGAATAGTTTCTGCTCCACAAGAGTCACTATGTTACTTGGGAGACCAGCTAGTTAACATCTTTCTCGTCACATTTTGATTCTATAAAAATAAATACATACAGGTGCAATATTCAAACTCAAGAACTAGTCTTTTAACATTAAAAGCAGAAATGGCAACCTTGGGAGGTAGGAACTGGTGGGAAAATGTCAAGGAGAATGAATGCAGACCCTGATTTTCAGTCTTTTAGGAACAATTCAGCCGCACTTCTTAATATGTTCAAATTACGTTTAAAACTTATGGTCCTACTATATATTTTATGTTACGTGCACTGCATCATGCCTAGCGATTAACATGCAACAAGGGCTGCGATATATTTGGGAAGAGGCCAGATTCACTCCAGTGGTGTATCAAGCTTCTTTTTGATATCGTCTTGCTAGAAAGACCGCCATGTGCAACCCTGAGTTCATAATGATCAAGTATGAGAACCTGGCTCAGGACTCTCAGAAGTATCATGAGGTTTGAACTACTTAGACCCTTAGCACAGAGAGGGTGGCTCTAAGATGGCAGGACTTTCAAAAGAAAGAAAAAGGAACTAGGTAGAAGTTCTCACACACACACACACACACACACACACACGAAATGTAGATTTCAGCAGGTTTGTGAAGGGATGAAATCCATACCAAAAATCAAACCACGACTCCTTCAATAGGTACAGTAAGCCCTCAGTGACAGCTTCCTCTGACAGCAACAGTGAGCCACTGTTGTCATTACAAAAGTGGGGGGGGGTACTGTCCTTCCACTTCCTCAGAAGCTGTCACATAGTCAGAACAATCGCTAGGGGCAGTAAGATGGCTGGAATTGGACAGTCTAAGGAAGGAAGCATGGAGGAAGAGGGACATCCTTCAGCCGCAGGCTTTAGTTTCAGAAGTATCATCAGTCAATGCAACTGTCCCACTCCCAGAAGTGGAGGGCAGCTCTTCCGGATCAAATAGGCTTCGTAGTACTGTTGTAGACGAGGTGCTCAGTGTCCTCGGTGGTGGAGAGCACAGAGGAGAGAGTGGAGTTGGCGGCAGTAGCTGGCTGGCGCCGTCGCCGGTACGTCTTTCTGTTCTTCAGGAAAAAGTAGCCAAGGATTGCCAACACTATCATTATGCATACAGCCAGGAGAACTGCAATGGCCGTTTCGAAAGAACCTGTGAGATATTTGAGGGAGGGAGGGAGGGAAGAATCAGGGTTAACCAAAGCTGCTATTTGGGCCTTAACAAGCGTTAAGAAGGAGGTCTGTTAACGTATTTACAGTAAAGGCTGGAGCAGCCCAAGATTCGAGGCACCCCTGGTTATTTTGCTGCTTGCCTTTCCACACTCAAAATGGCACCTGTCCTCTTTTTTGCGGTGTTCATCCAGTGAACCGCTTCTGATTTGGGTAGGTGTCCTAGGCTGAATGCACAGATCTTGAGATGCACTCACTTTTAATGTAGGGTGCCTAGCCATCTCAAAAACAATAACCAAAAGGTGATTGTGGGTCTCTTCCCAGAGCCCTCTGCAACAAGGACTTCCTGACAGAAGTACAGTGGTAACTCGGGTTACATACGCTTCAGGTTACAGACTCCGCGAACCCAGAAATATTACCTCGGGTTAAGAACTTTGCCTCAGGATGAGAACAGAAATCGTGCAGCAGCAGCGCAGCAGCAGCAGGAGGCCCCATTAGCTAAAGTGGTGCTTCAGGTTAAGAACAGTTTCAGGTTAAGAACGGACCTCCGGAACAAATTAAGTACTTAACCCGAGGTACCACTGTACTCCATGGTGCGATTGCCTCACCAAGGTATGTAACATGCAGATACCCGGAGGCGCAGAATCCCAAGGTACCGTCTTTTTCCGTGTATAACATGCCCCCATGTATAAGACGACCCCTATTTTTTGGGGCCGCAACAAAAAAAATTAAGGGGAGATTGCTCAGAGTTGTTAAGCTTTTTTTGGGGGGGGGGGAGCAACCATGCCTCACCGCTATTGTAAATAACCCGCCCAACTGCCACAGCAATCATTCACACACCCAATCACCGCTGCCAATCTCCTGCTGGCTGCTGCCACCAATTGCCCATCCCACCTCTGCTATCCATGTATAAGATGACACACAATTTTTGCCTATTACTTTTAAGGAAAAAATATTGTCTTATACATGGAAAAATATGGTAAGTGTGTGCAGACTTGTAGTCTAAGGCTACAATCCTATACATACTTACAACAGATCAATCCCATTGAACTCAACAGGACTCCACTCTGAATAGATGTGCCTATGACAGCATGTCAAATACATGTTATTTCTAGAGCACTCGCTTGAAAAACCTTTGGTTTTAAATTTCACTGTTGTGATTTGTAGTCATAAGCTGTGTGACTAATTGTCAGCCGCCTAGGTCTTTTATTGAGTAAGTGGCATATACTTTTTGCTAACTAAAAACATAAATTACTTTTAAGAATCAATGCAGTGGGATGAATATGTAACACACATAAGTGATGGTGACATGTTTCTAAAGGCAACAAATTATGCGTCATCACTTTCTTTGTACAGAAGTATCAGGATTCTTCCCATGCCTCCTCCCAGTTATCCTATTTTCTAAAATACATAGCAGCTTACAGCCGAAGCAAAAGAGACAGACAGCAGAGACTGAGGAGCAAAGAAATAAGTGTGCTACTAGAGAACTGTAGAGTTCAGTTTACATACTTAAACCTGCCTGCCGGGCCTCATAGGTGCTCCATCTCTGGCCAATCAGATCTTCCTCTGTGGAGGAGAGAAAGACAGGGTTGTATAATGATGCTTGGAATAATGGCAGATGCTCCTTCACTGAGGCAGTTTCATACAGTGCACTTTTAATATTAAAACTCTCCCAAAACTTTCTCTTTAAGTCATATCATATTTTCACCCCAACAGTTCAATCATATGTTCATTTATTATTTTTATTTTACTTCTTAGATTTATATACCACCTTTCTCTGCTTTCCAACAGCTGGATTAACAATTAAAAAAGAAACAGGAAACCAGAAAGAAAAAGTAAGGAGTGTGGGAGGTAAAAGAAGATGGTGACAATGAAATAGGCCATGGGTAGGCAACCTAAGGCCCGGGGGCCAGATCCAGCCCAATCGCCTTCTCAATCTGGCCCATGGACAGTCCAGGAATCAGCGTGTTTATACATGAGTAGAATGTGTGGTTTTATTTAAAATGCATCTCTGGGTTATTTGTGGGGCATAGGAATTCGTTCATCCCTCCCCCCCAAATATAGTCCGGCCCCCCACATGGTCTGAGGGATGGTGAACTGGCCCACAGCTGAAAAAGGTTGCTGACCCCTGAAATAGGCTTATGAGGCCAACAGTTCTTTCGGGGATGCAAAGATACTCACAGGCAATGATCATGCAATAAGCCAGACTTTGTGGCTTATTGTGGTATATTTATTTTATTTTATTGTTTATTAAATTTGTATACTGCCCTTCATCCAAAGATCACAGGAAGAAGTGGTTGATTTGCTTTGCTTCCCCCCTGGTGCAAGTGGAATAAACAAACTAGGAAGCTGGGTTTCTGTTACACCTGAACCAGGGATCAGGGTTAAATGCTTCCTGTCAAGCCATGATTGGGAGGCCAGCAACAAACCAGGTTCTTCCAGGGACCAGAACCAGCACTTTCTGCCAGCCAGCAGTCTATTACTGAGCTAGATGAACCACTGGCCTTGCTTGGACTCAGACAGCTTCTCACAAGAATACAGAAATGCTACATTGGGTCAAATCAAGAGCATTTAAGCATTCTGTCTTTTAATAGCAACCAGATAGATGCAACAGAGAAAGTCATGATAAGCACCATTATTTGTTAGTTCTCACCATCTAGTACTGAGAGGTATAAATATGTGAACCTCTGGCTGCTAAACAACTAGCCTTTCATGCTAGTACAGACACAACAGGAGAAGGGTCTGTGACTCCATATTCTGCTGACCTCTGGTCTGCATGGTGCCAAGAATTTACTCAGAAAACATTTACTAAGAAAAAGATGCCCCACATCTCCTGCCCACCTCTTTAGGTCCTTTTTCTACTTACTTGTGACACCTTCGCAAGATTTCATACACACTTCCTCCTCCTCAAAATTATTCTTGTTGCCTTCACAGCCTCCATAGGTGAAGCGACGGCATTTCTGAGCAAACGGGTTGTAATACCAGCGAGGTATGCTATCGTCACATCTCCCAGTATCTGGCATATCCACACAGTGACCTGCCAAAAAATATTATTGAAATGGTTTTGTATCAGGACATTAGTTAATACCTGATCATCTGATAAAAATTATTTAAATTGGCCTACTGCTTTCTTAGCACAACTGCCTTCAAAAACTGACTTTCCCCATAATCACTTGTTGCTTCACTTTATTTCTGTTCTAACTTTTTTGGCAACTGTAGTCCAGTTTTCCTTAGCCTGACCCCCTCCAGATATTAAGCTTCAATCTCATCATGGCTGACAGTTGGCCACGCTAGCTGGGGCCAATGTGTGTTGCAGTAATGTAACTGTATCTGAAGGGCACTAGGTTGGGCAAGGCTGGCCCAGGTATTAGAGGATAAAAAACAAAATGAACTCGTTCAGTGAATGATTCACATTTATGGAATCCTTACCTCACATTGTTAAAAGTTTCAATTACATTTTTGCAAAAGTTTCATTGTTTCGCAGTAACCAAGAGTTGTAGTCAACTAAGTCCTGCTCAGTGTTAGACCTATTGAAATTAATGAGCCTAAATTAGTCATGCCCATTAATTTCAGTGGGTCTACCCTGTGCAGAGCTAGCATTGGACAAAACATGGGTGCGGTCATACTTTATATGCCAAAATAAATTTCTTACTCTTTAAGGTGCCATATAACTTTTGCTGGTTTTTCAAACCAGTTGAAGATTAAGATATATTTTTGTTCTTTGAATAAAAATCAATGCATTTAAAATACTTGAACACTACTTGACCAGTGAACTGACCACAACTTCTTTGACTGGGAAAATGCCTAACTTTAGTGTTCATCAAAATGATGCATATACTAAGGAGCTGAGAAGTGCTACTGTTCCTTTGCAGGAAAGCCTTTGGTACAGTTTATTCTTTTAATTTGAGCAAGGTAACTGCAATCCATCTCCAGTCCTTCTGGAACAGTCCCCCTTTCCAACCCCAATTACACTTGGAGAGATGCAAATGTAAGTAATCAAATTGGTTATTAGCACATTCATCCAAAGTAGAGCCCACTCCACAGGCATTCAGGATATACTTACTTTGGCTGGTGGTAACATTGATATTACGTAATCGATTGAACCCTTGCACATCTGCAAGAAACACAAAAGGGGAGGGGATAGTTCACATAATGGTTCTTTCGGTGTGACGACAGTGCAAAGAATCAGCATAAAGTCAGAAACTCCCAGATCTCTTATTTAAATAGTTTCTCCCTGTTGTTTTGTTAGTAGTTCTCTGATCTTCCCCATTCACCTCCATATTTGTTTCTGTTATCAGTTTTAGACAGACTAGACCAGGGGTAGGCAACCTAAAGCCCAGGGGCCGGATGCGGCCCAATCGCCTTCTCAATCCGGCCCACGTGTTTTTACATGAGTAGAATGTGTGCTTTTATTTAACATGCATCTCTGAGTTATTTGTGGGGCATAGGAATTCGTTCATTATTGTTATTATTTTTCAAAATGTAGTCAGGCCCACCACATGGTCTGAGGGATGGTGGACCGGCCCATGGCTGAAAAAGGCTGCTGACCCCTGTACTAGACAGTAATAAGTAGACCTGTATGTATGGCCTACTTTAAAAACAAAACACCACGATAACATTTTTGCATCTATTTAACTGAAAAGCAAGAAAAGCTGAAATAAAACTAATTCTGGGAAATGGAGCAGATTTGGATGTTCTCATTTTGCAAAATGTATCTGGCAATTTTTAAAGTATTAAACATGTTGTCTGGAATGTTTCCTTTTTGGTTTCTGAGATTTTAGTAGATGTTGCCCACATACTTTTCAACAGCAACTGTGAGTGCTGTTGCTTCTGTAGCCCAAACAGTACCACCCACAAGAGGGAGGTATCAGCAGACTTAGGGAAAAACCCAAGGTTTGCAAGACATGTGGTTAAACAAAACAGAACACTACACAAAAAGAGTGTGTGTGTGTGTGTGTGTGTGAGTGAGAGAGAGAGAGAGAGAGAGAAAGAAAATATAACAATTCAATAAAGACTGGGTATTCTCCGTGGCCACAGATTGCTGATTGATTGTTGGGGTGTGTACATGTGCAGAATACAGAAAACTGGAGCACAGGAAAACTAAATGGAATGGCTGGAATCCTGAACAGTGTACTCTACACAGCAACATTTTCCTTTAGTCCCCCCCCCAATCAATGAAAGCTGGTATTATTCTTATATTTGTTAGCTGCCCTTTATTACCTAAAAAATACAAGAAATAAAAACACCCCCACCTCCAAATGCAAAACATGTTCTCAATAAGCAACATTTTGAAGTCCTGTGAAATTGCAACCGACACTTTGAACAGAAATACAAACAAGAGCAACGGGAACATTAGCAAAGGGAAATGCAGGACATTGCCATTAAAAGCTAGTTCACACATGCCAGCTGGCTGCTTCTAGTGTGCACACATGTGCACACACATGCATACTGGCTCATCATAAAATCTCTCCCCACTCAATCCAAATACAGAGTCCTGCGGTACAACATCAGCGCGAACAAGGCAATACACTGATACAAGCAGTAGTCTGCAATGATGCTGGCTATTGCAATGGGTGGAAATATATTTGATGGTGCCTCTGTATTCAGTCCTGCTTGCTTATATTTCTCCACCCAAGATCCTGGACTCAATAAGAGAGAGAGAGGAGGGTTCATGTAAAAGTGTGTGGAGGGGAGAGAAATGCCTGATCTGCACAAGTGAACCTGTCCTTACACATTTTTAGATTTCAGAGGGGACTGTGAAATCTGTATGGGACTGATTAAAATGAAGTAAGGCATGATCCATCTTTGGTGAGGAAAGAGAGGGAGAGAGAAGACTGCCATCCTGCCCTTTCCAGCTTCAGTTCTGTGAACTTGTGGAAATTGTTCTAGCAGAAGAGATAGTAGATTTGATAGTACAGTGGTACCTTGGGTTACATACGCTTCAGGTTACAGACTCCGCTAACCCAGAAATAGTGCTTCAGGTTAAGAACTTTGCTTCAGGATGAGAACAGAAATCGTGCTCTGGCGGCGTGGCGGCAGCAGGAGGCCCCATTAGCTAAAGTGGTACCTCAGGTTAAGAACAGTTTCAAGGTTAAGTACAGACCTCCGGAACCAATTAAGTACTTAACTCGAGGTACCGCTGTAGCTTCAGTGGTCTGTCCCAAAATTGTACAAACACATAAAATGAGAAGAGAATATGACTTCCTCTCCTGGGGTGGGGAGAGAAAAGGACCATGTTTGCCATCAGAGGGTGGCTGCTTCCACCTGCCATGGCCCACCCTTAGGTATCTCTCCAAGGGAGGATGTGCCAGGAAAACTAGAGCTAGAGTGTTTCTGGCCTTTTGACTCCAGATATAAAAGTTACCGGAGGTGAGGAGGGGGGCAAGAGGATGCTACTTCTGGACTGCTGAATAGCCGTGGCCCTCCATAATCTTGGCCAGATGTTTTTCAAGGCACTTTATTCCTTTCCCTGGAGATGCCAAGGCCTGGGTTCTTCTGCATGTGTGGTATGATTATGCCCATTTTCAAAGACGTCACAGCAACACCTACTTACACGAATCACATAACTTCTCGTCTGACCCATCTGAACAATCTGCAGTTTCATCACATTCCAGGAAGCTGTCAATACAGCAGCCATCGTCACATTTGAAAGAGTAGGGCAGGCAGTTTTCATTGCACACTATAGGGGAAATATAAACCAGACCTTTTGGTTCTCAGCAAAGACAGGGCCCCCTTCCGGATGGGGACATTTGCTTCAGATCAATCACCCAGACCAGGACTAATGATTGTGCCAGTGAGAGCAGTAAAGACAAGAGCTTCACCATGCCAAGAAAGCTACCTCTTTGCAACGCGGCAAGCACAGAGGCAAGAGACCAGTCACCAGTATTTGCCATTGAGGCTCAAGTCAGCAAGAAAGTGAGAAAGGGTGGAGTCATGTAGATATACAGGCAGAACCCGCAAAGCCAAACCTTGGCTTAGGGAGAGGGCACAAAAGTGTTGCAATGTGCTGTGCCGGGCCACGGTTTGGCTTAATGTATTGTCAAAATCTGGGCTCGTGGTTAAGTTCTCTCCTCGCTAACCATGAACTGTAACCAAGGCGTGTTACTGCTCACAGCTCATGGTTAGTGAGGAGAGAACTTGACTCAGGGACAGACTGTGGTTTTTCAAATTTCAGCGACGTCCTGCGCAAGGTGAAATTTCAGCACCCCCAGCTTGTCTCTCGCCTTCCGTACTGCTCAATTTATGACGTCGTAGTTGTGACGCTCTGTGGCGCCTCCTAGTCCCAGCACCCAGTGCGGCAGAACCAGTCCGCTGCCCTAAATCCACCTCTGCTTAACTGTGAGCCCACCTGCAGGCAGAATGTTAAGCCAATCCTTGGCTCAGCTGAGTACAGCACGGCAACAGAAAGCACCAGGGAAGAGCAGAGTGGCTGCAGGTTCCACTCTAGGAATCTGCACACGTGGGCCATCTCCTAAGCCCAGACTTGGCTTAGTGTTCTGGACAAACCAGGCCACTGAAATGCTTACCTGGCTCATTTCGCTTTTCAACAGCACCTAGAGAGAAAGAAAGAGAGATTAGGAGGGGGAGAGATTGCTGTTTTTCAGAAAATTACGTGAAAGTCATTGGATCTCATCTAAAAATTCAGACAAAACAATAATACTTTATCTGTTAAAACATTTCCCCTCCTTTTAAATGCTGGCATGCACACAATTCATTTCCAGCTACACTACTGTGTTGGAGGGGCCACAGGAGAGAAAGAGGTTTTTTTGATGTGGTTTCCCAACAACACCCTTCTAGAATTAGTGAAACAGCTGTCAGTCCTTCCCGATTCCAAAACCTAGCTAGCTTTTAGCAAAGTACAAAAAGTCACAGGTTCAGAGACTCAGTGAACTCACTGTATTTAAAGCTATTAAGATTCAGCTCTGCCAATGCCAGGGGGCAGAAGTATGGGAAAGAACATGACTTGTGTGTTGCAAAACTCAGCATTCCGAGGTTACGTCCTGAATGGATTGCAGGCAGTTTGACCACAAAATTGAAGGTGAATTTCCCCAAGGAAGTGATTTACAGAGAGCTGGCTTCAGGTACCAGGCCTGTTGGCAGACCAACTCTCTGTTACTGGCCTCTACAGCCATAGCAGGCACTGTAACTCTCCAGCAGTTTGCCACAATTTATGATCAGTTCAGCATTAAAGATGTTGGAACAAGTCCCAGGCTAATTATTTCTTCCAAATTTATGGAGATTAAAAAACAGCCCTTCAAAAAGCCTGAGCACATCACATCGAGACTTGGTAGACAGGTTCTTCCTCCACCCTTTTCAAAAATCCTCAGCGGCATCTATCAAATGTCAAATGTTTTCTCACTTGAATCTCTGAAATCCAGAAAGGAGGGATTTTCTCAAAGGACAGACCAACCTTGGACATTCTTGCAGGCAAGTTTACATTCTTCTTCTCGTATGTAATTGTTCTTGTTGGGTTTGCAACCCCCAAAGGTGAATTCCTGACACTGCTGAGTTTCTGGATTGTAGTACCAGCGAGGAAAGCTAGCCCGGCAACGTCCCACCTTATAAGGAGCCAAGCAGTGCTCTAGAAGAAACACACACAGTAAGTATCAGAGAAGACACTGGTTAGAAAGCACTGGTTACGTTTAGGTTTAGCTTATTCCCCTGATCTTACAATATTACTAGTTGGAAAGTCCCAGCATGTGACACTGTTCCCCAGTGTGTCCCTAAGACAAGTATCAGCCAGGGTTCCAGTTCTAGACTCTATCTTTGAAAGGTACAGCTAGCAAAGACCCACCTACAGTCTGCTCAGCATTTAGCACAGTGACGGTGATGTTGGTAGAGCCCTTCTGTCCAGAAGTATCCGTCACAGTCAGCTGGAAGATGTAAGTCCCTTCTTGCAGGTTGGTGAGCACCACATGATCTGTCTCTTTCTGAAGATGCAAAATGTAGAGAAGGGAGGTCCTTTCAGAAGGCATGATAACATAAGCTATAGCAAGAGCTTCAGCATTCTCTCATCTTGGTTCAAGAAATGTAATGGTGGTGGTTGCCACAGAACTTCGCCTAAAGTAGGCATCCCCAAACTTGGCCCTCCAGCTGTTTTGGGACTACAACTCCCACCATCCCTAGCTAACAGGACCAGTGGTCAGGGATGATGGGAGCTGTAGTCCCAAAACAGCTGGAGGGCCAAGTTTGGGGATGCCTGACCTAAAGTCAGGATGGAGAACTTGTCCACCACCACCACACCAGTGCTGCTGGACTACAACTCCCATCATCACTGGTCAATGGCCATGTTCTGGAAATGATGGGAGCTGGAGTCCAGCATCATCTCAAGATGCCATGGGTTCCACAGCCATGACCTGAAGCATCAAGGCAAATTTGGAGGTTCCCTACTCTGGCAAACCGCCAGAGGAATTTTGAGGGATGTTTTTCAATGTCCATACACCGATACACTGAGAGCCAAGGACAATTGGGACTGCCCCACAGGACATTTCAAACAATGGATCCCAGCACTGGAAATGTTTTAGTAGACCAGTCTTGCAGAAAGACCACAACAAAATGTTACAGAACACACAGTATTATTAGGATAACTGAGATAGTTGTAATAAAGCATTTGAAAAAGACACAGGACCTCCAATCAAAGCTGTCCCTTCCTGATTACATCAACTAGAAGGACCAAAGACTAACCCTTTCTACTACAAAGAGTAGAAGGAAGTCATGTTGGCTGTAAGAAAAAATCTGAAAGCCAATAAAGGCAATACCTTTATTACGCCAACCAAAATGCCACACAGTGATACAGTGAATGGCCAAAGGAGAAGGAGACAGAACTTTGTAAAAGCTATTTGTACTTGCAGAGATGGGGCATCTGCTATTATGTGTTTTTCCCTCCTAGGAAGAAAGGCCACACTTGCCAGACGTAGACACAGATGGCTTTGAACATCAGCCAACTCCCCTGCCTCCCCATTCCTCAACTTTCTTTTTTTAAAAAACAATGTAACCTGATGAAGAGTTCAAGGCAACCTTGGAAAAGCTTTTCAAAATTGTGTTTAGAAGCCATACATTGGTTTTGAAAAAACACACACCAAGCCTTAAACACTGCAAGATATGAACACAGACTCAGATACCATGATGGCACTGTAACCTGGCACCTCACATTTGTCCAACATAAAATGAGTGCTTTATATTCACTCTTGCGTCATGAAGTAGACAGTAACAATTTATGGGGCATGTAGATGGCATGGCATTATACAACAATTTAGAGCAGGAAGCAAAGGCACTGGACATAATAAGGTTGCCAGACTAGTCCCACAAGCTAGAATTTACATTTGACCTCAGGTGACCCACAAGGGAAGCTAGCAACCTCTGGGATCAGGTTTCTCCCTTTCCCATCTCCCATCATCTCCCCTGAAGCAGAAAACTCAAATTTCCTTGTCCTGTTTGAAATCTGCATCTTCTTGTTTTGTTTGAATCCATTTTTGTAGCCAAGACTCCATTTTCCTGGTAGCTTGTGGCCTAGCAAAACCATGAAATCTCACTATCCCTGCCTAATTTTAAAAAAACCACACACACACACACACCATTTTTAGATTGGAAGTGTGAAAAACCTGTACCTTGGTATACTGAAAGAATGCACCATTAATCTCTGAAGACAAGTACCATAAGCAATGATTGAAGGAAGTTGGCTAGGTGGAACAACTGTCTAAATTTAATCTTGAAGTCAGTAGAAGAATGAAAATATTAATCATAAATAAATAAAAGAGGATGCTGGTGGATAGCTAACGAACAGAATAGTTAGTCAAAGGTTAATAACGAAAGACAGAGCAGAATAGCTATACGTAATTACATATTTTAATGAGAAGGCTGGGAGGGCTAGTCAAAGGAGCGAAAGGATTTCCAATTGGTTTAGAGTGATGAAAGTGGGTTATAGGAAATTTATTGCAATCATATGATTGGTTAATAGTAATCATGTGTGTAATACGGAAGTGTATAAAAGCTCTATGCCAGGCATGGCCAAACTTTCCCTCCAGCTGTTTTGGGACTACAACTCCCATCATCCCTAGCTAACAGGACCAGCAGTCAGGGATGATGGGAATTGTAGTCCCAAAACAGCTGGAGGGCCAAGTTTGGCCATGCCTGCTCTATGCAATTATACCATGTTACAGTCCTTCACTGATTTTTCATGAAGGCTGCCCCTGAATATGCTTGTACCACATAAAGGCCTAGTTTCACTTGAAGCCTGTTTTTTGAATGGCATTTTTCTTGGGACACCCCACCCCCACCCCAGTCACAGACCCCTCCCTTTCCTTCAAAGCAGTAGTGATTTGTCCCTGTGACTGGTCCTCCCCCCGTTTCCCCCATGAAGGATAGAGCGGCAATTCTTGGATCCAAGCCCACCTCAAATGCTACCACCTGCCATGTCTCAAAGTCAGCTTGAACACCACTGCATTCTAGGATTGAGGAACACAAGGATATTCACCCAGTCACAATCCCCAAGACTCTCCCTTGCCCTGGGAAAAAGGTAGTTTGCTGCCCATCTCCTTGGGCCAGAAAAGACAAATGATCTGACCCAGCACTCACAGTGGCAAAGGACCTGCCTCTTGTTTTGAACTCATTAAAGATTGCTGAAAGGCAGAATGTCAAACTGCTGGAGCCCTGCCTCCCTTGCAGTCATTACTGGAATCTGCCTAAACTGGATTTACTTACTCAGTAGCAAGCAAGGGATTGTATGTAGCACACATCTAGAATACGCGAACCCAGGACAGGTTCAAGCTTTGAACTGAGGCATGCCTTACATAATCAAACTTACACTAAGTACAGCTTACAGATCTGGCTTTCAGGCAGTCTCCTAATCCAGACACTGACCAGGCTCAGACCTGCTTTGATCTTACGTATAATGTAAGAAAACCATATGCCCTTAGACGATTTTCTGGGATTAATAGTACTGAATGCTAATCTCATTGTCTTTTATCTTTGTGCAAAGTTCAACAATGCCATATTATTAAATATAAAAAAATGCATTAACCCATCTATTAAGGATTTCAAGGATATAAAAAGGTTATTTAGTAGGAGAGGAAAGCAAAGGTGTTAGAGGGAGAAGGGAGTAAATGAATATCAGATGCAAAGCTGATGGCTATTCTCACAGAGCCAGTTTCTTTGCATAACATCTCCAGTAATTTGCTTAAAGAAAGGAGGCGTATGCTGAGTAACAACTTAATTGAACCATACTGCTGACATCATGACAAAATGATTCACTGGCTCAATTCAGATGATCATATGTTGACTTAATAAGCCAAGACATAAATCACCTTTTTGCCACAGCATGCAGCCCCTTCGCTCCTCTCTTAATAGGAGCCACAATTAAATCAGGGAATCCCTGAATCAACCATAGTTTCCCATTTCATCCGTACCAAGAAACTATGGTTAGTAGTTTCAGAATCAAGGTATGATATTCAACCATAGGCCATAGTTTAAGATTCAGGCTTGTTCTAAAGCTTTTAATCAATCTTAAACTATGGCCTATGGTTGAATATCATACCTTGATTCTGAAACTACTAACCATAGTTTCTTGGTTCAAATGAAATGAAAAACAATGTTTACAAAGAGATTCCCTTGTTTAATCATGGCTGACACAGAGGAAGGAGAGAAGGGGTTTCATGTGCAGGCAGTTCATTCTGTCTCAGCTTATTAAGCAGAGATATGATCACCTGAATGCTGATAAGTGTAGATTGGCAAGCTATTGTGGAAGCAAACCTAAGCCAAATATTTGGCCTTCCTTACCTCCATCACCAGAGAGTCATCGCCAGAGAGAAGAGTCCATTCATAATTCACAATACCATGGTCATCAAAACTTTCTGAACCCCTCAGCGTCACCGGCTCGTTAGGCTGCACTTTCATCTCCATCCATGCACGGGCCACAGGCGGCCGATCATCTGACAAGGGAGAGAAGCAGTAACATTTTTATGTATTAATTCAAAATATATTCTGCCAATCTACATACAGCACCATGCGCAGCTAACCAATAATAATATAAACTGAATAAAATCATTTTTTAAAAATCAACAAAGGACAACAGAATGCCTGGATCCAACTCTGAAAAATGAAGGGAACACACACATGACTAAAATGACATGACAGTGACAAATGCACCCCACAACCTGCAGGAGATTTTTAAAAAATAGATGTTCAAGGACAGGTATCGCTGGTGGTTAAAATGCTACATTAGCAGTTTATTTAGTTTTTTTAAAAAAATATTAGACATTTTTTTCAAAGTGGTGGAAGACAAGTAGCTTTAAGGACAGTAAGGTCAAGTAGCACTTTTGTAGCGTGTTGTTGGCTCAGTGGCTGTTGCCGCCATCTTGTCTGCTTCCTTGCCTGTGCCCATTCTTATATGCAAATAGAAGAATAAACAGGGGAGGCTCATCCAGCAGTGGAGCACTGCCCTACTAACCTCAGTCTGCCTTTACCCAGCCCCCACCTGCCTGTCTTCTTACTTTATAAAGTCCATTGATGGCATTTTTTTGTCCTCCTTCCTCTCAGTGTTGCCACTGTACAACTCAGCCACAGTGAAGGATGAGGGCAAAATCAGAATCCGTCGGCTCTACCTCTCATTGGTTCTGGCTCCACCTGTCACTGGTGGCCATCCAACCTCTACTTAAAAACCTCCAGTGAAAGAGTGATATTCCTACTTGATCCTACTAACTCAACCAACAGGCCCTTGAGACAGTTGCCGAAGAAGCCAGACTACCATAATCTTTTACCCCAGAAAGTTCACTCCAGCTTTCCTTTCCAATTTATCTTTAGCAAATTGGTGGGAAAGGGCCAAATCTAGTAAGCTGCAGGCAAAGACATTTGACGTCAAATGGAAATGTACTGGGAAGTTTCCAGTGACCTTAAACTAGACTGAAGTGCAACCAGTTATGCCAGAGTTTTCAATCAGCTACCTAAACGTCATTACCGAAAGTGGCCGGAACAGCAAAACTTTTTAACAACAGGCAAAGACCAGCAAATGCTCAGGACACACCCAAATGATTACAGTAGGTTATACCCACACAAGCACACTGTTCCCATCATTTCCCCAAGGATTGCCAGTGCTTAGGAAACTGGCAGTGGCTCTCCAAGATCTCAGGCAGTTAAAGGTTTTTCATAGCTTCTGCTACCTGACCCTTTTAACTGGAGATGCAAGGAACTGAATGGATAGAGAGTACCTGCATGGGGTCTCCTGCTAAAACACAGGCATTGCTTCCATGGAATCCTCTGGTAAGCCAATGGAAGAAAACTCTCCATTTTATAGCAGGGGATTCTGATGCACGCAGCCATCCACACCCATCCTGTTTCAACAACAATATGCATGATGCTGAACAGGTGCACTGTGGGTGTGCATTCAGACATATATATGACAGATCAGACACACGCCTCAGATGTTTTCAAATTAGAGCATACATGACTTAATAAATGAATAGCCCCCTGAGTATGTTTATTATGCCACCTCTTCTCCCCTGAAACTCATTAGATCAGTTTCTCCATAGCGACAGGCTCTTCTCATGTCACAAAGGGAGACAATCTAACATAAAGGTGCTTTACACAGAGGTTCAAACAACATAAGAATCTGGAAGATCAATTATAAAACTCCCCAGCATTTTTCTTCATGTATTTCCCTTACCCCGTGAAAAGCAATAGGGGTGGGGCGCTGATCACAAAAATAGCCCGCAGAGAAATGATAACTACCTCCTTCCGCAGTGATATATGTATTTATATATTACACAGCATTTAAACACAAAACATCCCTTACAAAATAGAAATAGCACATAACAAAAAATAAAAAGTTACATTCTGAAAGTATTTCTATATACTGTATCTAATTTATGTTTATTTATAAAAGTATCACTATACCACTTGATGTACCCCCCCCCCCACTGAACCACAAAGCCCCTTCATGTAAATCAGAAACAGTTGCTGTGGGCCTATTTAGGCATTAATTGGTTATTTATATGATTTTGTTTGCTTGTTACTATGTTATACATATTTTATGTGTGTTTTTATATTGCCTCAGCTCAAATTACTTATTTGTGAAAACCAACCTGCATGATGCATGAAGTGTTATGAAATAAGGTGATCATTAGCTCCCTATAGATCACAGATGACCCAGGCCCTTCCAGGCATGTCCAAAGTCCATTTTTGGGGGCCTTATTAGGCCCGCCAGTCAGTTTAATCCGGCCCCTGTGGCAGTTTTTTTCCTGGGGTAAAATCCTAAAAAAATCTCAACAACTTCAACCCCCAAAAAAGTTAACAGCTTTGGTCGGCCCTCACGGCCCTTCACTTCATCAAATCTGGCCCTCTTTGAAAAAAGTTTGGACACCAGTTTAGGCAGTATGGTTAGGATCACATCAAAGTCCTCATAGGGTTTTACTAGGATATCACCATGACAAGTGCACTTACTTGGCATCTGATTACATAAACCGTATGTCTCACAGTGAAGTACTCCTTCCAGAAACATCCCAGAAAGGTTTATAATTGCGCCAGGGAGTACTTCACTGCAAAACAAGTGTGAGCATACTTCCTAATCTCCAGTGCTATTTTTCTAGAAAAAGAGGTGCCAGAACTCACCATGAAAACTTCCCTCGTTCTCTTAGGATAGCTATGGCGCCCACCTGAGACATGTCAGAACCTAGTTCCAGTGATTTACACCTGGGGGGGGGGAGCCCTGCTAATCTCCACACTAAAACCAGGGCTAGAAAATATATCTATCCAAGCTCTAGATAGGGTGTGTGCTGAAGCAATTGCCTGATGTGGGACGTGATGGTGAGACCTTGTCTCTTTCAGAGCACCACTGCTACATGCCCAGGCTGGAAGCCATCATTCATTTGTATCACTGACGTTATGCCTCTCTAGTTCATGCACATTGCACATAGTTGCTCTGGGTGAGCTTTTGGGAACTGTCGCTGGGTCAGTTTCATTTACAGTAGTACTTCAACCTTCCTCCAAGGTGTTTAAAATAAAATTTTATTCTCGCACTGTTAACAGCACCTGGGCCCTCCAGCTGAAGTCCCCAACTGCACCTTGCCCTGACCCCAGGAAGAAGGTGTTGTGCCAACTCTACCTAGGCCAGGAGGCTGCTCAGGCCAAGCAATTCAAACAGGAAATCTGTTTTTGTTTTCAATGTCTTGAAGGTTCTTTCCTTTTATTGAAATTTGGGGGGGAAATAAAGATCAATATCAGATATATTTTTATCAAGACTAAAACACTAATCTAAATAAAAACGCAGAGCAAAAACAGAAGAAAAAATGAATGGGGTAAAAGAAAAAGAGGGAAATGGAGAGAAATAGAAAAGAGAACTTCTGATTCTTTATCTGTCAGCTATTTAGAGAGAATTGTTCAACACATGTACTCCAAGACAACACTCAACAAATCCACCTTTTATAAACTAACATTATCTTCAATCCTCAAACCGAGATATCATAAGTACATTTTCTTTTCCATGCAAAAAACCCATAGAAAGTTTCCAATCTTTAGTAAATGTTGACAATGGTTTTTCTCTGATTAAACATGTCAATTTCACTATCTCAGCCAAGTCCAGTAATTCTAACAACCATTCCTCCATTGTAGACAATGACGAATTTTTCCTTCTTTGTGCATGTAAAAGTCTTGATGCTGTGATCATATATTGAAATAGAGTTCCACAGACTTTTTCTAATCATATACCCGTAAATCTCAGCAGGCTTGGGAGAACCTCTAGGTTTGCAGAAGTACCAAAAAAAAGAGAGTCAACCCAGACCATGGCATAACCCCCAAAACAGCTATGGCTGAGCATACTTAGTGGCCATGAAATGCTTGCTGTCTGAGTGTTGGAAGGGGGGGGGGAAATGGGAAACTGGGAGGAGAAGAGGGAATGGGGAAAAAAAGGAATTTTGACCAGCAAGGAGGACTCCTGTAGGCCTCATCTGTAGCTCAGTTTCAAAACTCCGCAAGCCCTGCTGCACATTGTATTGTGTTGCAGCCATCCCTGGAATCTGCCTCAACTGGACTTGCCTACTTTATTCCAGACAAAAGATTTCACTCAAGGTACACATGAAGAAAAACAAACAAAACTCATACCAATAAAATTCCTATTTGAAAAGAGAAGGTAGATTCTAAAGGTGAGTCTGGTCTTTAAGAGATTAAAGCATTCAAGCCTGAGCCATTCACCTTTATAGAGAAAGACAACAACACACACACACACACACACACACACACACACACACACACACTACACACTTGGACCTTTGCTCGACCTGGAACTTTTTTTCCCCCCAACACGGAAATTAAATGAACTGAAGGACATAATTGTACTACTGTACAAGCTTAGATCAATATTTTGGTAGTTGTATAAGTCCAGGGAGGTGTATGTAGAGTCAGTCAGTGGAAATAATAAATGTTATTAGGACCAGTTAATGTCCAAAACACAAAGCAGTTGTTGCTTTTGTAGCAAGAATCAGTTTCATGAAAGAGCCCTGGTTTGAACCCAGAACTATAATTCCCAAGTTTGTTGGGGAAAGGATCCAAAACAGTTAGACTGGGTAAAATCTGTAGCCAAGACGCCACCGGCAAACCCCTTTACAGACGAGAATATTTGAACCACCTTGGTTTCTGCTCTGAGACGCAGCAATATTCTAAAGTCTCTGCCTTTTGCAGTTCTGCTATCCAAGATCCTTTTAGCTGGAGATTCAAATTGGGCCTTCTGCATCAACATGTACTCTGCCCCTGGAGATGCAGCCTCTTTCAACACCAGAGTTTCAAAGAAGTCCTTTCTCTCTTTATCATGACCTACACTATACAAAAACTAACCTCGCCTAGATACATAATCCTGGTCTAACTTCCTTTATCTGCGAACTTTGATTCAGGTAAGCATTTGCCTATCATAAACACAGATCAAAGTTCAGCATCGTCCAGTTGT